ACAACATTTTGTGGATCACACAAAGATTTGTTCCGTGCGGGAATCGAACCCGCAACACGTTGCACGGCAGTCAACTGCCCAGCCACCGTACCAACCGTGCAGTCATAATCTATTTAGCAAAAAAATATTTTTTCAATTAGAACCGTTTTGGGGTTCCTGAGAAGTCATTTGATGATTTTCCCTCACAAAAAAAAACACCCTCATGAATGAGAATCTTAACCTCCGGATCACTACGGATACAGCAATTACACAAATAAGTTCCTACATATGACTCGTAGCCAATATAATTAGTCCAAAAACAATATAAAATTTTCTAACATAAAATATTATATTTTACGTAAAATCCAAGTTAGCATTCCGTTCGTTGCTTACTCATGTAAATTCTACAGTCGTATATTTAGCGTGGGGACACAAGTTTTTAGATCCTTGTTTTTCAGCCTCAATCTGTTTAATGGCAGTGGGAATGAAATGCTCGCGTTCAGCACTATTCTGGAAATTGCGAGTAATATTTTTACGAGCGATTTTTTTAGAGGGCTCGTAAAAAACTGTATTCGGTTTTTGTTCATCGTTTTTTTTCAGTGAATTCAATCTTGATATGATAATGTATATTGAAAGATCCTACTATAACATAATAAATGTGAGTGAAACTTGTAATGCCTACTCTGTGACAATCGTAACACCCGATGTTGCCATTAGGCAATCAACCTGCATGTTTGCCGACCTATCTCATAAAAAAACTTGTTATCTTGTAATACGTTTTGTTGTGTAAAAGAGGTTTGTTAAAGTATCAAACCTTAAAATTTGAAAGATACAGTTGCGATTTTCTTATCAATATTCCTATTTTTTAGATATTAGGTAAGTAATCTCAAGATTAGTAATAGGAAAATAATACTTTAAAAAAAAGTTAAGCCGAAAATCTCACGTCTAAAAAATCGGATCAAGAATCTTATTTTTTGGAATGCACACTTAAGATTACTGAGACTAATAATAAGCATCTAATCGTGAACTACTTCCTTCTTTCTTTGTGTTGTAGTTGTCTCTTGAGCTATAAGATATCCCTTCAATGACTTCAATGTGCCTCCTGGCAAAGGCCTCCTCTAACAGTTAACTCTTCTCTATTTTGGCCCTGTCGTCAGTTGCATTTCATCTTCCCACCTTTCCTTGTCTTACTTTGTTCCTTTTCCCATCTCTAAGGTACCTACCAGTCTGTAAAAATGATGTTCCACTTCTCAAGGGCACTGCGCAACATGTGCCCAGTCTATCTCCACTTCAAACTATCTGTTCTAGTAAGTACGTATGGAACGCAGCATGATAGGTATTAAGAAACGGGATAAAATACGAAACACTGTCATAACAAGTAAGACGAAAGTAACAGATGTATTTACTGAGACAAGGAATTTTTAAAAAGCAGACACAGAAAAATTCAAGGACAAATAGTAAATAGTCGATTATACATCAGAATAGTCACCATTTTTTCCGTCTCACGGCACTAAATCAAGGTTCGCTTACTTTAATATAGTATCGACAGTTATAATGTTTACGAAACAGTCATATTTTCAAACTAGTGCTGGGAAAATGTTTTTTTTTTTAAATCCCGAGTTCCGTCGGCCGCTGGCAATACGTTAACGTTTCGGTAAATCTCGGCTCTCGACTCTTTTAATTCGGTAAAAATGTTCGAATATTTTTTCGAATTCGAATTTCGGAGTACTTTGAAGGTATACTCGGTCTAAAACTAACAGTAATCACTTAATGTGTTATTTCGAACCTTTTTTTGTAAGGGCACAGCGTTGTGTTTCGGCGTGTGAGTGAGGTTAGCGGAGGCCCTATTATTTCCCTTCCCCAATTTCTAAATCCTCAAAACCCTAATCCTTAAAAGGCAGGCAACGTACTCGTAAGTCCTCCCTTGATGTGGGTGTCCATGGGCGGTGCTGATTGCCTACCATCAGGTAATCCAACTGCTCGTTTGCCGTACTGTCACATAAAAAAGGGGAAAATCATCAATGGATGTTTCAGAAGCACTTCTCTCGCCCAGGGCGACGCGGGCGGGAGTGTCAGACTCCTACTTACTGAAAACTCCCCTCGATCTGTCTCCGGGCAGACGCCGCACTTCATGACAACTAATAGAGAAGTATTAAACGCAATATTACGAATAATACAGCTAATATAGCTAGTACAGTTAACCTACACAGTTTTATTATATGCAAAACTATATGTATACCACCTTTGTTGCTTCTTTGTTTACTAAAATCAACCTTCTTGAATTTTGCACAGATACATAGTTAGAATTACACACAGAATCAGCTAAGAGCAAAAACCTAGTAAAACAGACAATTACAAAATACTATTTTGATATTTAAATTATAACCAAAAACTCCTTTGTATTCATATTACAAGAGTTATTATCTAGTGCAAGGGAATTGTCTCAAAATGTACGAATTTTCACGACAATTTCCCGACGACGTTGAAAGCTCTTGATAATGTCTCGAAAACTTCGCTCGTTTCCTTTCAACAATGATGTTTTGTAACTAGAAGAGACGGGACCAATTTCTCAATAGAGTTATATGCGCGACACGCGACGTCGCCGCACCGCACTCATAAATATGAATACCTATTTGTACCTCGGTCTGCACATATTTTATTACAATCTTTTCTCGAATAGTTCATTCGAATAGAACATTTCAATTTTACTATAAGTTTAAATAAAATTTAAATAATCTTGTGTTTAGCCCAGTATAAAAGTACCCGAGCGTTAGCGTTGGCGCGTAGCGTTTCGAAGGCGCATCATAGAGCCAATAGACCACTACAGATGCGGCCCAATAGGGCAATGTTGATGATTTATTCCCTCAAAAACATATTTTAAAAAGCTAGAGATCCAATCTGCTTTCCAAGAGCAAATAAAAGTCAAAAGTCAAAATCATTTATTTCAATTAGACTCTTACTTACTTTTGAACGTCAAACAAAACTTAAAGATAACAAAGTTTCAGTCTTTCGGTCAGTCCTCTTAGTGAAGCTCGTTCCAAAGTGTAGATTCTGATGGAGAATAACGAGGAAGAAACTCTATACTTCTTCTTTTTAAGCTACTTATATATAGCATTGCAGAGTTTGAAGTCAAAGTCAAAGTCAAAATTATTTGTTCCAACTAAACCATAAATAGGTACTTTTGAAACGTCAGAAACGTTAATGTTTACCATCGTACAATCCGTCTTCTAATTTGTTCCACTAATCTACAAAAAATCCAAGTACATGTCACATCTAGTTTCAGTACATGCATGTGTATTGTCAACCGTCTGTTATGATTGCAGCCTCGGCCCATTGGGTCCGAAACAAAAGATTTATTCAACAACAAAATATTTGAAGACAATGTTTATTCGAGAAATACGTTATTTATTTAGGCCATCAAAGTAAAGAGGTGTTCAATAAAAAAATATGTTTTTATTTCTAAATTTGAATAATGTAGGTTATAATTGTTATTAAAAACCGATTTTTATGAGGCATATCGTGTGGCTTCTACCACTGACGTCAGTGTCAGAAGCCTTACTGACTTAGATTTTTAGACTTACAACCGGTTTCTGAAAGGCTTGTCAACGCTAAAATTAACTAATCTCCTGTTAAATCTCTTATCAAGTTATCTGATTAGTTGTTGATCATTCAATCAACCAATCAGATGACTTGACAAGAGATTAAATTGATCGGCCTTTCGGAAACCGGGTGTAAGGCCATCAAATTAAAGAGGTGTTCAATTAAAAATATGTTTTTATTTTATAACTTTGAAAAATGTAGGTTGTAGGGACACTCACCTCTGAAATTCATATACACAATAACCCAAAATAGGTTATAATTGTGAAGAATCTTTTTTTTATGAGGCATATCGTGTGGCTTCTGCCGACCTCGGTGGGGTGTGAAGAAGTATCAGTCCCTTACTGATTAAAAATCACTTCATTCCTTCTAATGGCTCGAGAATGTCATTATGTTAACGGACTGTTTATTTTGATTAATAAAGGTTATAGCTGTTAATAACCGATAAAAGAACTTTTGGAGGGGGGAGGGAACGGGTGACCATGTAATGACTTCTCCTGCTCAGGGTAAGGCGAGAGAGGGTGTCAGACTCTTACTGACTAAAAACGCACCCTTCCTTCTCCTGCTTTGGGCCGAGGCCGCGGTGACTCATTGCTCTTACCCCGCAACCCCAGCTGAACATCAACCCTATAGGGCCCTTTAAGGCGCGCGTTGAATGCTGCGCGTCGTACGCTCGTGTCTGGTTTTGGTCGGGCGGCGAGCTACCCATACTCCACAGACCTGCGCATTTGTCTCTATTACTCTCTAGCAAGAGTCTGTTAACTAGAAACCTCCCCGTTCCATCTCCTACTCTGGTCTCGCTTAAACTCGCAACCACGGCTAGTACCGATTATAATTTTCATGTAAATTATTTCTCAGAGCCTCAGATTAGATTTAGCCTTAGATTGTTGATAATACAACAGGTTTGGGTGTGATGTGTATTGTGGAGTTGTATGTTTGTAAACGCATCCTCTATCGTACAGGAAAAAATGGAAGTGTGGGGCAACGATTTAAAAAAAATGATGATGTTAATTTTGAAATAAATTTTGTGTTTTACCCATACATATTACATGTGGTTGAAAGAAGCTTAATGGAACGTTAAGAGAGCTTCGAAATTCAACTGTCAGACAAATAATCTAGGATTTAATTTCTGAGATTACCAAAATATTATGAATTGAAAGAAAAATAATAAAAGAAAATGTGAAGAATATGTTTTTTTTTAATAAATTAAATCTAATATTTACACATAATAACATTTTTGACAATAATACTTATTTTATTTTATTTTCTTAGTTGTTATTATTAAATTTCTTCTTGAAATAGTGTTTACGTTTTGCTAAGTTACATGTATGTAGTTTGTAAATATTTTAATACATCATTGACGATGGAACATGTCAACATCGTGAGGCAACCTGGACTTATAATCAAAGTCAAACCTTACCCGTGTGATAAGAGGCATTTGCTCAGCAATGGGCACTTAAAGGTTGGATGTTTCAGAAGAACTTTCTAAAAGTAAATCCAGTGGATGGCTCCCATCTTGAATTGGGCAGAAAAGGTGATACAGATTTGCTGAAACCAGCGTTGAAATCCAGCGATGAGCCTCTGTTTCTTAATAAGTTGACGTTACCATTGAACGAGTAGTCTGTTTTGTCGAAATATGGCGTGTGAGCGACCCCAACAGATCCCCCCACCTTGTTCCTGTAAAGAAAAGAAAATACTTTCTTAGCTATATTTTAAGGCCTCTATTACATTTATTTAAGATTTTTTTTGCCCGTAGGTAGAAATCCTCATTCAGCCGGGGTTGTAGGTTAAGCGCAATGAGTCACCGCGGCCTCAACCCAGAGCAGGAAAAGGAACGGGGGTGTTTTTAGTCAGTAATAGTCTGACACTCTCTTTCTCCTTACCCTGGGCGGGAGAAGGCATTGAGATGATTTTCCCCTAAAAAAGGTGGAAATTCTCATGGAGCATGGACTTGGAAAGATGATCAGTCGGACTTGTCGACGGAAACGTCGCACCAACTACAAGAAACTTAGGATAAGGCCTTTGGCAAAGGCATTTGGCCTATTTCTAAATGTAAAATAATGACACAATTTGATAGGGTAGAATAGAAAAAAACGGCACACTCACCTCCAGAAATAAGGGAATATAATATGTTTAAAGGGCAGGAAGAAGGACTCAAAAAATCTATGTTTAAAGATTACGCACGAAACAACTCTTTGTGTGATCCACAAATTGTTATTCCGGGTCTGGGTGTCATGGGTATGTGAAATTGTATGTAATGCGGGCAAGGTTTAAAAAAAAAACAATGGCAAGACAGTGCAAGCGCAATAAGGTACCGCAGCCTCGGCTTAAAGCATGAAAAAAAACGAGGAGTTTTTAGTCAGTAAGAGTCTTTTTTTTTGTGAGGAGAAAATCATCAAGTACCTCTCCGCCCAGGGCCAGGCGGGAGGGAGTGTCAGACTTTTACTGACTAAAAACCCGAAGAAGAAGATATGTCTGGTCTTTTTAAATGTATACAAATATGGATACTTACTTAAACATATAGTCGACTCCAGCTCCAACGGTGTTGAAGCTAGGAACTTGAGGCATTTGAGGCCTGTTCTTAGCGAAGTAAGCGTTGACAGAAACATCATGGTTCTGATTGCGGAACAGGTTCGCATAACCAGCAGCTTTGAACTGATTGCCGAAGTCTGGGATATGTGTATTGGTTAGGGAGAGGCCATGGCCATTGCTGGAAACAAAATAAAAATTGTAAGATGTTCGGAAATAAAAGTTCTTCTGTGTGTCATGATAATACATATTTTGCAGGTTTTTCTTTTAATTGAACACTATTATTAATATTTATATAATTTATCCGCATTGTGAAAATTCGCCAAAGAACTAGTGTCACTGACACAGATCTTTAAATCTGCAAGTTAAAGTGGCAATGTGCAGGCCACGTCGCTCGGAGGACTCGGATATCGCCGGTGGCGTATATCCACTGACCGAAAGACGTAGCGTGGGCAGACATTCTGGACCGTCAAAGTCGTGGGGACACAATGGATGCGAGTGGCAACTTGTATTTCGGCGAATAGAACTAAGGGGGAGGCCTTAATCCAGCAGTGGAGGTATTCCGACTGATGATGATGATGATATAATTTATGTAAATTACTGCTGGTATGCTTTACATAAGAGAAATAGCCACAATCTTCATCTTGAGGATCGTAGTTCAGAAGTATAAAGTCAAAAACTTACGCATTATTCATGGCTAAGCCATACGATGCAGATTGCAGACGCCTGGCAGCATCAAAGTTGGCTCCTCCTATAGCACTGAACGTATTCTTCTGGCTTGTACCGAATGGTGCTGATAAACTGATTCCTGGAAGAAGAATACATACTTAGATTTCCCATTTATCTGTAAGCTAAACACAAGCACACTAATCACATCATCAGCCTATGAGTGCCCCCTGCTGAGCAAAGGCATCTTCTCACACGGAGAAGGCTTGAGCATTAATCATCACGCCTGCTCAAGGCAATCCACTGCAAGCTAGAGTTAGAGCTACCGACACACTTATCAACATCCAGAAAAAATAGATGACGCATTTGTGACTCTTCTCTTTTTAACTATTTCCAACAATTGTGCATAGTATTGCTTACCATCAGATAATAAGTAAGCCCTTTTATATCCCAGTCATTGATAGGAAAACAAATTGTACCTACATTTACAAATGAGGTCTTTATCTCTAGCCTCTAGTATACCTACATATATTTATGCACTATATGCCATAGCATATGTGTATAAATATATGTAGGTATACTAGAGGCTTATAATTAATAAGAAATGTTTTGACAAAAATCACGCCACCGACCGATCCGGTAATGATATAAACTAAAAAAACTTACCAGAAGTTCCATCTGAATTAGAAAAAGTATTTCCGTGTAGCTGTCTAGTCTGTCTCCTAATGACTCGGTCCATGTAAATACTGGTAGAAATCTTCCGAGTTCAAATACTGTTCAGGACTTGGGACGGTTTCCCAGGCTGTGGCACCCACGACCACGGCAGCAAGGAGCAGAGCTGAGTACATGATTATTGGGTTTCTGCACAACGAATGATAGCTTCGATGAAGTTTGTGAGACTTTTATATTGTCAGAAGTAGATAGTGTTTTGTCTCGGGCTCGGGACTTCACTGAGATAATGCACTGTAGCGTCTTCTTTTATCAATGTTTTGTTTTGTAAAGATTGTTGATGGTATTAATCATTTAATATGTACTAGTGTCTTGCTCGCTTTTTCTTTTACTATGTTTACTACATAACTTGAATAAAATATACCACCTAAAATCTTGCTCATTCACCAACAGCATTAAAATCTGTCACTAATTTTTAAAGAATTACAGAAAGAAAAATCGTTTAATTAATCCCGGACATACCGCACAAAGTACTATAAGAAGAAAAAAAATACAACATTATAAAAAAATAAACAAAAATTCAACAATATTAGTTTAGATCCTATATCTAATAAAACAAAACACAACACAAAAAATATTAAAAAGTACTTAAACAACTAAAAAACAATAATTGCTAGATGGCAACATGCCCATGCCAATAGGGTTGCCATCTCAGTATAAGTTGGGCTCAATGAGAACCCTACATTTTTAGTTAGCACCCTTGCAGTGACGCACGGATGAAAGCAACGTAAATACAAAAATAATATTATTATATATAACATCATTGATTGTAATCTTTAAAGATCTAAGCATACAATGACATAGGAACAGACTGCGGGATGTGACTTTGTTTTATACTACACTCGATAGTGATTTATTGTGGTTATGCATGTTTAATACGTAAATGTTATTTATGTGTGAAAATATGCATTAGGTAATCACCATTTTTATTTTTTTAGGCCCATTTTAAGAGATTACCTCTTTGCCATAGATTGGATTCAGGATAGAATCAAAATCTTCATGTTCCGTATTAGTATTTCTTTTGTTATACCTCTGGGTGAGCAATTGGCGCCGCCCATGGACAACCGTAACACTTGAGGAGTTAGGAGTGCCTTGACGGGTTTTTGGGGATAAGGGTTTCGGAGATTTATTTATTAGAGATTGGGGGAAAGGGAATGATTGGGCCTTAACACTAACACGGCGAAACACAACGTAAGTATTGCTTCATGACAGTTTTCTGTGAGGCCGTGGTATCACTCCGGTCGAGCCGACCCATTCGTACTGAAGCTTAACTCTTCCACAATTGTGTATCATATCAAATTCTATTTATTTATTACGTTTATTTAAACTGACTTAACGTTTTAATTAAAACATATCAATTAGTCTGACCACATGAAGTGAAGTCAATAAAAACAATTATGTTTATATTTTTTCCTGTAGGATTTATTTACTTGTATTTATTTAAACAAAACAAAAAACAATTGGTACTTCCCCTTTTATTTTCATCATATGCTCTATTCATGGATTATAATCTATCAATGTATAGATAGATTAATTTATATAATGTAAAATGCTAAGCAACGTCTTAAATAAAGAAGATGTTTTTATGTCAAAAATTATGTAGAGTCTATTCTAGAAGATCTCACATGAGGATAACAAAATGGGAAATGTTTTTAATAAAAATTAAAAGGTGTGCAACAGTACCTAGCGTAAGTGTTGATAAATAAATTGACCTATTTGGTATAAATCAATGGCAATCTCTAACTAGTTTATAATTCCTAATCGTAATACGATAACGCTTATAAACTAAATCTAAATCATAAATAATAAAATTAAAAATAAAAAAAATAATTTTATCAATCAGAAAAACAATTGCATAATATTTGCCGATCCCTTCCTTTCTCTCCTTTCCAACATAAGATAAGATGAGATTTGCCTCGACCCCCTACTACTCTAAAAGATCTTACGTAATTTAAGGACGCCCCCTTGAGAAGATAAAGATTACTATAATTAATTATATTAACAACATTATAAATACACATTATAATAATAAACATTAATAAAATGGAACCACAAACTTATCTCAGTGAAGTCCCGAGCCCGAGACAAAACACTATCTACTTCTACCAATATAAAAGTCTCACAAACTTCATCGAAGCTATCATTCGTTGTGCAGAAACACTATAATCATGTACTCGGCTCTGCTCCTTGCTGCCGTGGTCGTGGGGGCCACAGCCTGGGAAACCGTCCCAAGTCCTGAACAGTATTTGAACTCAGAAGATTTCTACCAGTATCTACATGAGCCGAGTCATAGGAGACAGACTAGACAGTTGCACGGAAGCACTTTTGTCAATTCGGATAAAACTTCTGGTAAGTGAAAAATTATCTGGTAAATGGTCCAAAATGCAACTCTCTCATTGTCCTACCTCCATCGTCATTTGACTGCAAGGTTGACGCAGTAGCCGGGCAACTGGCTGCTGTGCAAAGTCCCGCGGTATTTGATTCGCACACGGAACAACACTTTGTGTGATCCAGAAATTGTTGTTTCAGTGTTTTTTTTTTAATGTAATAAGTCGGCAAACGAGTATGCTCGTTTTTTTATTTTTATTTTATGCAGATTACCTGATGGTAAGCAATCAACGCCGCCCATGGACACCCGCAACGGAGGAGTTACGAGTGCGTTGCCGACCTTTTAGGGATTAGGGATTTGGAGATTTAGGGATTGGGGAAGGGTCTGGGAAGGGGAAGGATTGGGCCTCCGGTAACCTCACTCACACGGCGAAACACAACGCTGCGGTTGCTTCACGCCGGTTTTCTGTGAGGCCGTGGTATCACTCCGGTCGAGCCGACCCATTCGTGCTGAAGCATGGCTCTCCCACACAAGTGTACTCAAAATACAGGAAATCTTAATATGGGGCAAAGTTTTTTTAACGAAACGAAAGAAAAATCATGATCGTCACAATAATCATCCCGGATTCGTAACTTCAATATTGTTTTATGAGGTAGGGCGGCAAACAAGCACACACAGATTACCTGATGATATCAGCAATCAGGTTCACCTATGGACACCAACAACATTCGAGAAGTTAAGAGTTCGTTGCCGACAGGTTGGAGATTAGGGATTTGGAGATTTTAAGATTGGGGGAGAGGAAGGATTGGGCCTCCAGTACGCTCACACACACGGTAAAACACACCGCTTTGGTAGTTTCACTATCGAGCCGACCCTTTCGTGCCGAAGCATGGCTCTCCCAGTACTGAACTGAAGGGTCTTCTCGAGTTGAATGTTCAACTATATAATATGCTCTTTTGCCAGGATTCAACGCAAGATTGCCGTTTGCTTCAAGCAAGAATAATGTGTTCAGCGCTATTGGAGGTGCTAACTTCGATGCCAACAGACATCTGCAATCAGCCACGTATGGTTTGGCCATGGATAACGCGTGAGTATTTATTGTTCTTCTTAAATATGCTTAAATATCATAGTGATCGTCAATTTTTAAACTTAAAACTGTAACTCTACTGGTGTTACAATTATCGTCGACGTTTGCTCATTTTTTATAATATATGTTACGGCGCCAAAATCGTTTTGGGGATAAGGGGTTATGGGGATTAAAGATTAGGGAGGGGAAGCATTTAGACTTTGGAAACTCGTACGTCCCTTCGCCGAAACACAACGCTGTCGTTGTGTCTGTGATGATGTTTTCTGTGAGACCGTATAGCGCCCTTCGAGCAGAATGGGTGTCACGAAGCATGGTTCTTCCATACTTAAATTTCGTTTAATAAATTCAAAAAAACAAGTAATTTATGCTTTAAAATTATGATTGTTAAAAATATGTGATGACGCGATGAATTACTTCGCCTGTCTAATGAAGAATTTTAAATGATTCAAACATACCTACGTTACAACTATTTAAAATGGAATAATTAGCCCAAAAATCCCAATACGACCACTTCAAAAAGTCTATAATTTAAAGTAGGTAGCTATATTTTTTTAACAGTAATTACGAATACGTATTCTAATCAAATTCTAGTCTAATAAAATGTATCAAGTAATGAGACCAAACCAAAAATAATTAATTTGCGTTAATTAAAAAAAAAAGTGTTTATATTTATACAATTATTGAATATCGGAGGACCTAATGCTAGAGTATTTTCTGCCAGTCATACTAATATATAAAAAAAATATTATAAAAAAATCCTTCCTAACTTTCTCTTTATTCCAGGGCTGGACATGGACTTTCCCTAACCAACACACGTATTCCTAACTTCGGCAACAGGATCACTGCTGCAGGCCATGCCAATCTGTTCCACAATCAGAACCATGACCTGACTGCAAATGCTTTCCTCTCCAGGAATATGCCCACCATCCCTCAAGTGCCCAACTTTAACACGGTTGGTGGTGGTCTGGATTATATGTATAAGTAAGTCACTTTTATTACCATTCTCAGACTAGATATTCGGAAGTGATAAAATAAAATTGTGATTTTAATTTGGTCACTGGTTTCTTCTGGTTTCTAGATTCCAAATTATATCTGCCCTAAAATATTACTAAACCACAAAGTTCATAAACCTTGAAAGAGTTTTTTTTTGAGACAGTGAAACAATGAATTTATTTCTGCAAATAGGTCATAAAACGGCTCTTTGCACGTCAATATGATTTATAAAAATCTAGATGAAGCCAGCATTTCCTACTTGACTACTCTGAGAAGAAATGCCAAAAAAAACACAGAAGTATCCGTCTCTTCACTATTGTTGTAGTATGTTCACTATTATAAGTACAGGGTTGATTGTATAATATAAACACTTTTTTTAGAAAAAAAAAACGTTGCCCCACATTAGGATTTTCACCTGTGTCGTGGGTGCGGTTACAAACATACAATTTCACATACACATGACACCCAGACCCGGAATCCCGGACCCGGATCACACAAAGAGTTGTTGCGTGCAGGAATCGAACCCGCGACACGTTGCACGGCAGCCAGTTGCCCAGCCACCGCACCAACCATGCAGTCAAAATTAAATACAAAGAATAAT